GCACTTCTCTTTGTATTTTTGTGTGTGGTCCCCTATTGAAATCCATTTTTGGCTCGGGTGTCTCAAGATTTTGCAGACTTACATACTAAAGGGTGCCATGACTGAGAGAAGATTGAGAAATGCTGCTTTAGGGTATGGAACAGCATGTGACTTACAATTTAAAGTGACACTAAACTCAAGAGTTAAATCTTAAAAAGGCATTCAAGTACCTTAACTAACAATACTACACTTCATTTGTGTATCACTCGGCTGTAGATCTTCAAACCATCTCTGAATTGGTGCTGACACTGTCCTTCCTTCTGCAGGGTGGCTACTTTTGTTCCCCATGGTCCCTGTCTGTGTTGTAAAGTAGCCAATGCTCCAAGCTCACTCCCATGATGGACTACAATCTCAGGTTTAGTTTACTAATTTGTATTGAGATTGTAGTCCATCACGGGAGTGAGGTTAGAATGGTGGCTACTTTACAACACACACAGGGACCATGGGGAACTAAGGGAAGGACAGTGTCGGCACCAATTCGGAGATGATTTGAGGAGCTACCGCCGAGTGATACACAAATAAGATACATTTTTGTTAATAGTTGGTGTACGTAAATGCATTTTAAAGATTTAATTCCTGAATTTAGTGACATATTAATGCTTTCACAAAGCTGCATTTCTTTGCTTTTTGTGTCTGCACAGAGCGATGGGGCAGCAAAGCAGAGGTGAGTATGTGCTGCAGGGAAGGACAGCATTAAATGAACCTGTTGCTTTCCTGCATCGAAGGATATTTTTATAACCAAATGCTGATCTTTACAGTGTCTCCTCACTACAGTTATCACCTATTATTGTTTTTATTAACTTTCAATAAAGATATTGGATTCAACAAAATCTAAAAGGATACATATATATTACATGTATATTAATATTTTTCTTTATTATAGATGCAAATTCTACAGAGTTTGATTTAAATACAAAGAACCCAGTGGTGAGTACAGCAGCACTTTGGACTTATTTCATGCAAATTGTGTAAAAAGAAGGCTTGTGAAGTAAAAACTATTCTTAATTAGATGTCGAGGCTAACACACACATTTGAATATTTTATGCCTTATCCCCACTGGCAAAAGCACTGTGAAAACAATGAAAGATGTCCATAAAGCACCAGATAGCAACAGATAGATAATGTATTCTTAAAAAGGTCTTGCAACAACTTTTTCTCTGTTCCCTTCTATTGTGACACCGGCAGTGGGACATCACTCAGCTATAAAACGGGGTGACACTTGCTGTGATGTTGTGGAGTGGGCCGCAACTTCCTCCATGATGGATATGCTGCTATGTTGGGATAAAAGAGCTGTGTTGCTTGATAACACTTTAGTTCAGAGGAAGTGCAAAGAGGGCATGGGTGAAAATGCTGTGATTAATAATTTAGGGCAGATTAGTTACAAGCCCAAATCTATTCTGGGATTTCTACTGTTTATATTGGTAAATATGTAATCTGTAACTATGAAAGTGTGAGGAGGCACCACTGGCTGTATGTGTGCTTACTCTGGATAGCACATGGAAGGTAGCATCTAAAAAGGACTGGATAGAGCCCAGAGAGGAAATCCTTCAATTACTCGATGTAAAGGGGCCTGTCAGGATAACAGTATGTACTGATCTTTACAAGCTGTGTTGGTTCTATGTCCATCCAAACTGCTCTAGCTTGAGAGCTTACCAGCAGTGGTAGACTGCACACCATTTCGCTGAGCCTACCATCATGAACTTCATTAAAACAGTTAGGGACTAAATAACAACCAGGAAATGTTAAAAACAATAGACACTTTTCTCAGGATTATGTCATGTCCAACATAGCATTTTAATTGCAAGAGCCAGGACCATATAATGTATACCACAGTTTTTACATTTCCAGGGGTAATGACTATGTAACATACATCATATTACATAGAGTGGAGTTGTCAGAACTGCATAATATACACATAGTTTATACAGTGCAATAGTTAGGAGTATGTAACTTACAATAGAGTCTATAGAGTAAATGGTTCAGGACTATGTAATGTACAACAGCATATACAGTGCAGTAGTTAGGACTATGTAACTCACAACAAAGTGTATAGAGTAAATGGTCAAGGAATATGTAATGTACAACATAACATATAGAGTGCGGGTGTCAGGACTGAGTAACATCAAGCATACACACAGACACACATATACAGATGCGCGCTCACATAGGTTGAACTCAATGGACCTGTGTCTATTCCACCTCAAATACCGTTTAACTCTATTCATGGGTAATTCAATGTGCCCAGTAATTTTGTCACTATTAAAATACTTGTGGATACCTCTGATATAAGATTCATTCTAGTTTCTTGCATGCTAGTGTGATTTATGCTAGTTTTTTAAAATGTTTTTAGGGTTTGACTTTTCTTTGAAACTTTTTATGTAACCGTTAAAATGTTTTGGGTTTTTTCTATCTTTCTATAGTGATTAATAAACAAAAGATTTTCAATCAATAGATTATATTTTCTCACACATTATTAAGATTATCAAATATATCTATTTGTTGGGTCATCCCGAACATATCTTTCTTGTTGGGGCAAGGATGGAAACATTATAACATTTAACATAGCATATAGAGTGTCAGGACTATGCAATGCATGGAGAGTGCAGTAGTCAGGCGTAATTGTACACTTATGTTTTTTGTCAGGGATGAGTGTCCACTTATATTGGTGGTCAGTCATTAGCATCCTTTAAATGTTGGCGGTCAGTGGTAAGTTTCACCTTATATGTTTGTGGACAGTACTGAGTGCCCCTTAAATGATGTTTGTCAGTGATGTGTACCCCTTTAAATTTTGGTGCTTAGTGGTGTTTGCCTTCTTGGCATTGGTGTGCAGCAGTGTATGCCTGCATAACATTGATAATTAGTAGTGGTGCCCCAATAACATAGGTGTTTGGTGGTTGATCTCTGATCCCATGACATTGGGGTTCAGTGATGTGTGCTCTTATAACACTGGTGTTCAGAAGTTTACAAACCAATAATATTGGTGTTCAAGTGGCCTGGGTCCTCATAACATTGTTCTTTAGTTAGTCTGTTTGCCATAATTTTGATGTTCAGGGGTCTGTTTACCCGTGAACTTGGTGTCCAGTGGTCTTTGCCCCTTTCAATGGTGTAAAATGGCATTTGCCCCCCTAAACATTGGTGGTCTGTGATGCTATAACAATATTAGTGCTCGCATTCACTGCGCCCTCCAAGGTCTCTATTGAGTGACTTTGCAACAGAGCTATGGGCCGGGATTTCATTCGGTTCAGTGATGGCATGTTTTATCAGAGGTATTGCTAGATATGGGGCCCCAGACAGTAGACCAGTCACACGCCTCATGTGCTTTTGGCTAACAAGGCCTATGTAGCAATGGTAGCTACCATATTTGCATTTTTACAGGTTTCCTGTTAATAGCTGTGCTCCCTGTACTGCCTGGTATCCGCCATAGGATTAAAAATGTTTTTCTATGTTAGACTGCAAGAAGACAGCTTCTAGCTACTAGAGACAGCATATTTAGTTTTGAGAACCACTGCAACATACCAATTTAATAAAAGCCATTAAAGTTCACCTTCTCATACAGATCATACAGATATATCTTTGTCTATGTTTGTCAAGCTCTGTAAAATATAGTCTACCATATGGTATGTTTAGAATCAGAGGGCTAAATGTATTTAGTGTTATTGGATTCTAGATACAGTGCATTCAGAAAATATTCAGACCCCCCCTTCTCTTTTTTCAATTTTGTTATGTTGGAGCCTGATACTACAGTTGTTTAAATTCCTTTTTTTTTTTCTCTTATTATTTTACACTCAGTACCCCATAATGACAAACTGAAAACAGAATTTTAGAAATGTCTGTGAATTTATTAAAAAGAAAAAAATGAAATATCACATGTACTTAAGTATTCAAACCCTTTACTCAGTACTTTGCTTTGTTGAAGCACCTTTGGCAACAATTACAGCCCTTTTTGGGTATGGGTTTTTGTTTTTTTTTAGGTTTTCAATGAGGATATCTCTGCACTTTGCTCCATTCAGCTTTCCCTCAACTGTGACCAGTCTCCCAGTCCCTGCTGCTGAAAAACACTCCTACAGCATCATGCTGCCAACACCATGCTTCAGTGTTGGGATGGTATTGGGCAGGTGATGAACATTGCTTGGTTTTCTCCAGACATAACGTTTAGAATTGAGGCCATAGTGTTCAATCTTGGTTTCATCAGACCAGAGAATCTTGTTCCTCACAGTCTGAGAGTCCTCCAGGTGCTTTTTTTGCAAACCCCAAGCGGGCTTTTATGTGTTTTGCACTGAGGAGAAGCTTCCGTCTAGCCACTCTGCCATAAGGGCCAGATCAGTGGAGGGCTGCAGTGATTGTTGTCCTTCTGCAACTTTGTCCCATCTCCACACAGAATCTCTGGAGCTCGGGTTCTTGGTCACCTCTCTTACGAAGGCCCTTCTCCCCTGATTGCTCGTTTTCAGCTCTTGGTTCTGACAAACTTTTTCTATTTAAGAATTATGGAGGCCACTGTGCTCTTGGGAACCTTCAGTGCAGCAGAATTTCTTTTGTAGCCTTCCACATATATGTGCCTTGCAATAATCCTGTCTATGAGCTCTGCAGTCAGTTTTTTTGACATCAAGGCTTTTGCTCTGATACAGCATGCATTGTCAGCTGTAAGTCCTTCTATAGAGGGGTGTGTGCCTTTTCAAATTATGTCCTGTAAATGTAATTTACCAGAGGTGGACTCCAATCAAGGTGTAGAAACATCTCAGCAACGATCAAGAGAAATGGGAGGCACCTGAGCTAAATGTCAAGTGTTGTTGCAAAGGGTCTGAATACTTATGTCAATGTGATATTTCAGTTCTTCCTTTTCATACATTTCTAAAATTCTGTTTTCACTTTGTCATTATTGAGTACAGAGTGTATATTAGTGAGGGGAAAAAAAAAGAATTTAAACAACTGTAGTATCAGGCTGCAACATAACAACATTAAAAAAAGTGAAGGGGTCTGAATACTTTCTGAATGCACTGTATATGCTGCTTTTAGTTGCGTGTTTACTCTTCACCTAAGCTATGTAGCTTTGGGATGAATTACAAGACTTACTGCCAATATTTCCCTTTACGCATAGCATAAATGTAGCCTTTTATGCTTTTTAAAATGCATGGGAAGTCCGTGCAGTGTTTGAAAGCACAAGTAGAACAGATTATTACTGACTTTGAACACATTAGCTAAATCAGGCTTCTGGTTCAAGATACAAAGTGTCAGGAAAAAATAATGAGGGAAATGTTTTCCGCATAACGGATGTGAGATTTGAAAGGGGATTTTGTATTTTGTTGGATGAAATGAAATAACAGATAGGTAAAGTTTTCTACAAAGCTCCAGTAAGAGTTTCAAATCCACTGTTGAATTTTTAAAACAGTACTAAACCAGATAAAATGTTTGGTATTTATATTTGGTCCGAGCCAGCTAGCTGCAAGAGACATTCAAACTATCCAACTAGACCCTGTGTATGTAGCTATTTCTCTACTCATCACATTATTGTAGGGGAAAGAACTGAGGTTTCATGCAACAGATAGAGCCATGACACACTAGCAACTTTGTAGCAGTGATATGTAGGGCTGCGACTAATGATTATTTTCATAATCGATTTGTTGCAGATTATTTTTTTAATTAGTCTGTTTAAAAAATGAATTTACATTTTTATACATTTTTTAATATTACTAATTATTTAGTTATTAATTAATACATATTAGTTATTTAAT